ATTCAAACCCAGGTCTTCTGCAAGAACAGTCAGTGTTCTTAACCACTGAACCATCTCTCCAGCCCGATATTGTCTATTCTTCATGGCATGTAAATGAAACCTTTAATCCTACCATTCAGGTAGCAGAGACAGGCAGACTTCTGTGACTTTAAGGCCAGCCTTGGCTATACAGTGAGACCCTGCTTCAATTTTTTTTTTCTATTTGTAAAATACACTACCACAATAGCTACTCTGCTTTTGAAATCATCAGTTATATAGGACATGCCACTTAAGAGGATCATTTATAGAAAAAGCACTGCTTTGGGAGTTTAGGATTTCTTTCTATAAATAAAAGTATCTCAGGCAATATGCTTGTGAGTTCATTTCAGGAAGAAAAAAAAAGGAACACCAAATAAAATGCAAAGAAGGAAGAAGTAGGGGGCTGGAAAGATAGCTCAGTGGTTCAAAACACTGGCTGGTTTTGCAGAAGACCCTGATTCAGTTCCCAGCACCTCAAGGTGTCTGCAACTCAAGTTCCAGGAGATCAGATGCCCTCTTTTGGCCTCGCTGGACATTGAATGCATGTAGGGCACTTACATGTAGGCAAAACACTCATCCATGTAAAATAAAAATAAATGTTTTTCAAAAAAAAAAATAAAGGACTAGTGGGGTGTGGTGGCACATGCCTTTAATCCCAGCACTCAGGAGGCAGAGGTAGGCACATCTCTGCAAGATGGAGGCCAGCCTGGTCTACATAATGAGTTCCAGGCCAGCTGAGGCTAAAGGGAGACACTGTCTCAAAAATAATAAATAAATAAATAAATAAATAAACAAACAAACAAACAAATAAATGACAAGAAGTTGGGAGGGGATGAGGGATAGATGAGGGAGGAGTTAGAGAGAGGATTGGCAGTGAATATGATCAAAATACATTGTATGTATGTATGAGATTCTCCAAGAATAAAATTATATTAAATACAGAATACTGAAAGAGTTCATTAAAAATTAAGAACCATCTTTAAAGAGCAACTGGATTCTCACACTGTTGGTATAGTTGAAAAGAGGCCAAGCCTGGAAAACAAACTCTATTGATGAGTTAAACAGACACCTATCTTATGACTCAGCACCACTGCTAAGTAGAAAATGACCATAAAATGTCATAAACAAAAATATATAGCATTTAAGCACCTTTGTAATAGGTAAAAGCATCAAACCTCAATAGAACAGAGAGATACAGTATATTCACAAATGAAATAGCACCAGCATATACACAATGGACTACTGTTACAAACAAAACCTAAGTAAGAATGTTGGGCCAAGGAGATAGCTAGTGAGTAAAGGAACTTGCCAGCAAGTCTGACAATTGGAGTTGGTTCTCCAGGACTCACATGGTAGAAAAGACACAGATGTTGTCCTCTGACCTCCACAAACTGTGCTCCGGTACACACATGCACTTGCACAGACACACATTCCCCATCAATCACAATAAATGTATGCAAAAAATATTTAAGGATGCCATGGGCATAATGTTGAATGAAAGTACCAGCTATAAAATAATTAAACTTATAAAGTTTATGACTAAGTCAAACTACAGTCATCACAGTCCCAGTAATAGGGTGTAAAGAAATGAAGTACAAGGCTCAGCAGTTAAGAGCATGGCTGCTCTTGCAGAGGACTCAGGTTGTGTTCCCAGCACCCACATGGCAGCTAACAATCTCCTGTAACTCCAGTTCCAAGGGATCTGTTGCCCTCTTCTGATCTCCACGGGCACTGCATAACATGGGTGCACTTACATACATGCAGGCAATACGCCCATACATATAAAATAAAAATAGTAATTTTTTTTTTTTTTTGTAAAAATTTTTTTAAAAGATGAAATACTTGCTGGGCGTGGTGGCGCATGCCTTTAATCCCAGCATTGGGAGGCAGAGGCAGGTGGATCTTTGTGAGTTCGAGGCCAGCCTGGTCTACATAGTGGGTTCCAGGACAGCTGGGGTTACAAGGAGACCCTGTCTCAAAAAGACCAAAAAAAGATGAAATACTAAATGGAAGAATCACTAAGAAGAGATACACAAGGGCTCTCTAGGATTAATAAGGTTTTAAAATATTTTTAAAAGACATATACATATATACACATACACTTTTTGATGTTTGATATAATATCTATGTACCCCATCTGGCCTTGAACTCATAGATCTACCTGCCTCTTGCCTACTGAGTGCTGGGATTAAAAGCATATGCCACCAGGCCCATATTTTATTTTTAAAGCTGGCTAATATAGGTGCTGAGAACCTAACTGGGATCCTCTGGAAGAGCAGTAAGTGCTCTTCATCAATGAGCCATCACTCCAGTACAAGAATTTTAAATCTTTTGATTTTTTTTTTCTTTTTTCTGGTGTTTTTTTTTTGAAATAGAGTCTCCCTGTAGATCCAGGCTGGCCTTCACCTCACAGAGATCCACCTGCCCCTGTCACCAAGGTCAGCTCAAGGTTTTCAAATCTTGATTTAGGCCAGCTATAGTTCAGGGGTGAAGCACTTTCCTAGCATGCATGAGGCCCTGGGTTCAATCTCCATTATCAGAAGTGGGGAAAGGTGGGGAGGGCAAATTTTGATTTAGGTTCAATGGATGTATTCATACATAAACTTTAGGAGCTGGTTGTATACATATTTCAACAGTTTAGTATATACAAATTATACCAAAATAATGGTAACAATGATAATCAACTTACATTCCCAACAACTCCATTTGCCTGCTTTTGCTTCTGTTGCTTTGCCTGAGATAATGGTACAGGTGTGGGCTTTTTTTTTAAAGGTTTCTTTTTTTTTGATTTAGCAGCTTTCTTGGGTCCTTTACCCTTCTGCTGCCATCCTCCTTTTGACTTGTTCTTGTTAGCATCACTCTGCTGCAAATCACACAAATGACAATGGGTTAACTTTTAACAACAGCTTCATTTAGAAGACAGTCATTTTTTAAAGATGAGAATGACTAAAATAAATGTTTTTATAAACTGACTTAGTCTCCAGAGTAATAGAAGTTAATCAAAGAAGCAAATCAAACCTTTTTTTTCATCAGGAAAGATAAGAAAGGTTCTTACCCCATCTTCTGCAGGCTGCTCCTCTGCAGCACAAATGGACTGCTCCTTCTCAAATACTTCCTGGAGGCGGCAAAATCAACAAAATCAATCAGCCCACAGTCTTTCAGATGAAATAAGAAAATTTTCAAACTACCTGTCAGTATGGGTTTTGTTAACTGGTTACAACTGAAGGGGTGAGTGGACTTAGCAGTTATGAACATTGGCATATGCACGTAGCTACCTTCTAAAGTAACTTAACTAGATTTTGAAAAGCAAAGGCTTAACAAAGTCAATGAATATGCAAATTCACTACAAGGTAAAACATATTGCAATTTAAAATTTCATTTATTCAAATAGCAATAAAGCAAGAATATTTTAATGTCATGAGAATCTGAATGTATATTTTCTAATGTAACACCTTTATGAGACTGTTATTAGTTTACTTGTTATTAGTGCATTATGAAATAAATCCACATATCCTAAAGACATATCCACTAACCATACAATTTAATTAAAATCAGTACAAAATGCTATAGGCTTACAATTCAAATCTCAGTATGAACTAGTAAGAATTCATATTGAAAGACAAGCAGTATAGTATCCGCTTAATAAACTTCCTAGAATTATTAAAGGTAATAAATAAGAATAAATATAATTATTAGGCTCTGGAAGAGACAGGTTAGCCTAATTCAGAGGTCAACAAGCTGGCATATTCAATAATCTGTTGTTTTGGACATGGTTTCATTATGTAACCAAGATGGTCTGTCTCTCTGTAGTACTGGGGATAGAACCCAGGGCATCACATGTGGTAAGCAAGCAATACACCACTGTACTACACTACCATTTGTGTATGTATGCAGATGCACGCACACGCTCATGTAACATGGAACCCAGTGGTTGATGTCGGGAGGCTTCCTTTCCTGCTTTTTAAAATAGTTGTTAGCCATCTGTAAGCTGCCTATTCAATTTGTTGGCGTATTTGGTGATTGGTAATTTTACATCCTTGGTATTTGATTTTTACAGATATTAGTGCCTTGTCTGATGTATAGCTGGTAAAGATTTTCTCCCATTCTCTGGGCTGTGTGTTCCGCTGATAGCTTCCTTCACTGTGCAGAAACTTTAAGTTTCATATAGTAATGTCTGTTGATACTTAGGGCTAATTCCTATGTTATTGATAAAGTTATTGCCTACCCTAGTATCTTGAAAATCTTTCCCTTTATTTTCATCTAGGAGTTTCAGTTGTTTTTTTTTTGGGGGGGGGTGCTTTTTGAGACAGGGTCTCCCTGTAGCCCAGCTGGCCTTGAACTCACTATGTAGACCAGGCTGGCCTTGAACTCACAGAGATCTGCCTGCCTCTGCTGCCCTAGTGCTGGGATTGAAGGCGTGCACCACCGCGCACAGCAGCAGAGTTTCAGAGTTTCAAGTTAATGACTTTGATCTATTTCAGATTAATTTTTGTACACAGAGGAAGTTGTGGATCTAATTTCATTTTTCTGTAAGTGGAAATTCAGTTTTACCAACACCATTTACTGACATGGCTCCCCCGGGCCCACCACGTATGTTTTTGTCTCCTTTATCAAGAATTAGGTGGGCATGGCTTTGTCAGTTTCTTTTCAGGTCTTCTATCTGTTCCACTGTCTACCTGTCTGTGTTTATGCCAGTACTGGGCTGTCTTTATCACTATAGCTCTGCAGTCAGGTATTGTGATCCTTCTAGCTGTGTTCTTACTCCACAGGATTGCTTTGGCTATTAGTGGTCTTTTATGACTTCATATGAATTCTTGTATAGCCTTTCCTAGGTCTGTGAAATATACAAGAATTTTGATAGGCATTGCATTACATCTGTAGATTAATTTTGGTAGCATAGCCATTTTCATAATATTGATTCTGCCAACCCAGGAACATTGAAAATCTTTTCCATCATCTAGTATCTTCTTTGATTTTCTTTTTTCAATGTCTTGAAGTTTTCATTGTAGAGATCTTTGATTAGGTGTGTTCCTAGGTACTTAACTGTCTTTGGTACTACTTTGAATGGGATATTTTCCCAAGTTTCTTTCTCTGAGAGCATTGTTGATATATAAGAAGGCTACTATTTTCTTTATATTGAGTTTTGTACCCTGCCACTTTAAGTGTTTATTAGATCTAGTTGTTTTCTAGTGAATTCTGTAAGTGGTTCTTTTAAGTAGAGAATCATGCTGTCTGGAAATACAGTTTGACTTCTTCCTCTACTACCTCTTTGCCTTTCTCTTCTCTAACTGCTGTAGCTAAGACTCTGAGCTATATTAAATAAAAGAAGGAAGAGTGGGCATCTTTGGTTCCTGATTTTAGAGGATGTGCTCTCAGGGCATCTCTGTTTATAGAGGAATGTTCTGTGTCTCTGTTTAATAAAATGTTGGCTCTAGATTTGTTGTCTACAACTTTTATTATTTGAGGCATGCTCCATTTATTCCTAACTTCTCCAAGACTTCTATCATGAAAGCATGTTGAACTTTGTCAAATGCCTTTTTGGCACCAACTGAGATGATTATGAGGATTCTATCCTTTAGGGTGTTTATATAGCGTACTACCATTTATTGATTTGCATATGCTGAACCAAACTTGCCTTTCTGGAATGCAGCCCACTTGGTTATAATGTATGATCTTCTTAATATGTTCCTGAATTCAGTCTGCAAGTGTTTTGTTCAGAATTTTTACATCTATGTTCAAAGAAATCAGTCTGTAGCTTTGTCTGTTGTGTTTTTACCTGGGTTTGGTATCAGAATAATACTGGCTTTGTAGAAGAAATTTGGTAATGTTCCTTCACTTCCTATTTTGTGAAATAAGAAGTATTGGAGTAGATCTTCCTTGAAAGCAAATTAGCATAGCCATTATAAAAATCAGTTTGCAGATTTCTCAAAAAATTAGAGCTAGGGCTACCATATGATCCAACTACCTTACTTTTGGGCACATATCCAGAGAACTCTGTATCTTATTACAGAGGTTTTGCAACCTCATTTTTACTGTTGCTCTATTCACTATAGTAAGGAAATGGAACCAACCTAGTTTTCCATCAACAGCTAGATACTGAAAATCTGGAACACATATAAAGTATTATCCAGCCCTAAATAAAAATAAAAATCACAAAATTCACAATAAAATGGATGAATCTAGAACATGCTGTATTAAGTGAGGTCACCCAATCTCAGAAAGTAAAGGATCCTCCTTTGTGGATCCTAGTCTATAATGTATACACATACACATGTAAAACAATTCCATATGTGGGCATATGTAATACTTAGAATCGAGAACAAGAAAGGGTAATTTGAAAAGTAGCATAGTTTTTGTCTTTTGTCCCATGATGGATGTGTGAATTCAATTTTCTGTATACTGAAGTAGCAGGAACCACATCTATATTCTGTAAGAGTTCATTAAGTGACTTTCAGGCAATGATTATGAGGCTTGGACTTCCTTTTAGATTCCACTGACCATGAGTGCAGTGGGAACTGGACATGCTGGACACTGAATGCATGTTTCCCGCTGACCCAGTTTGAAAAAAGTGATTCTGTTGCTGTTGTTAATGTTTGCTGTAGTTCTGTATCCTGTGCTTGATGCTCTTTATAAGAGCTGTCACTTTTGGAAATTCTTAATAAAACTCATTTAAATTTAAAACAACAACAACAACAACAACAACAACAACAACAACAAAAAACCAAGACTGATAGGACTGATGAGATCGCTCATCAGATAAACAAGTCTGCTACAAAGACTGAAGCCCTGAGTTTGATCCTCAGAACCCACATGGGTGGAGGGGAAGGACCAGATCCAGCAGCTTGTCTTTTCGCGTGCGCGCACGCTATATGCAAAGAGAAACAAAAAACAAAAAAAAAAAGAAACCCACAAAGACAAAAAAATCCCATGTGACAACTACGCCAACTCTCTGCATAGAAACAGAAAAACAAGATGCAGGAAATACATATATTGGATTTTTAAAAAGTAAGAGAAGCACCACCGCACACAGCAAATGTATTTATATATGAATACGCACTGTAGAGATCCAAATTGAACACAGAGGCAAGATAAAGGATATACACAAAATTGAACACTGGTCATCTGAGGGACATGGATGGATCAAAGAAGGGGCTCATGGTACAATATTTTATTCTAGAGTACCTATCCTTTACAGTATTTCAAGAAGCGAGTAGTTGAACTTGGAGGCGACCATAATTTCTTCCTATAGTTTTCTATACTGTTTCAATTTCTTTTTGGACATCATGAATTTTTCACATTTTCAGGAAGTTATTTTCACTGTAATTTTTAAATATTTAAAAAAACTAAAATAAAATCTAATGAATATATTGAGGTGAAGATAATAAAATTATCAAAATCAATTATCTCTACATAGGCAGCACTTTACAGTTTAAAAACATGGGACTAGAGATGGCCCAGCAGTAAAGAGCTTTGGCTGCTCTTACTGAGGATCTGGGTTTAGTTCCCAGCACCCATATGGCAGCTAACAACCATCTGTAACTCCAGTTCCAAGGGATCTTATGCCTTCTTCTGACCTCCATGGTTACTGTATGACATGGGTGCCCTTATATACATTCAGGCAATACACTCATACACATTAAATTAAAAAAAATGGAGTGGAGCATGATGGTACATGCCTTTAATCCCAGCACTTGGAAGGCAGAGGCAGGGAGATCTCTGTGAGATTGAGGCCATTCTGGTCTACATAGCAAGTTCCAGCCAGCTGGGGCCCTGTCTCAAAAAACAAACAAAATATACCCAAAACACACAGTAGATGGTTCTGAGAAATACCACAAGATGTTGGTCTGTAGCCTCTACATGCATACATGTATACATACATATACCAACACATACAAATAAAAAAAGCAATCCAAAATAACATATATGTAAATAAATAAAATTAAATAATATAAATTACTTACTGCCATTGTCTGCCTTGTCAATTTAACCAACACTGTAACTAAAGATCCTACTGTGATATTGTTGCTATCTTCATCATCCAGTACTGTATGATGGGAGGAAAAAGATAAAAGTAAAATATAAAAGTACATTCTAAGTCAATGCAAACAGCAATATTTAACTTGCCTAAATCAACTTATTACTTTAATCTTTTAAGTATATTATACTAAAGGCTTTTTACTAATAACCCTCCTCCCAGATGCCTTCAAAAACTTATTTAATCCTCTAAAAAGTATTATCATTTCCTCTTCAAAAAACACTGGGTGTACAGCTGCACTGAAACTGCCAAGTTGCAAAACCAAGCCTGAAAATAGAGTATAATTTTACCTGTTTGGCCAACGCCTGACTGCAAGACTAAAATAATGAAAACTAATATTCCAAATGACCTAAAAGAGACAGTATTTACAGACAACTCCAATACATTCTCTTTACATTAAAAAGCATTTTAAGCATTAGCTTTGTAAGCATATGTATTAAAATTGGAACAAGAAAGAGGAAGATTAGCACTGTCTGTGAAGACTTGGGGGAGATGGCTCGGTGGAGTAAGAGCACTTGTTCTGCAAGCATGAAGATCAGGGTTTGAAGTGCCAGCAGTCACGTCAAAAGTCAGGCGTGGTGGGGTGTCCCAATAATCCCAACACTGATTGGGGAGCAGACAGGTAGACCCTGAGAACTGGCTGGTCAGCAAGTATAACCTAAATAGCTAACTTCCAGTTCAGTAAGACAGCCTGTCTCAAGGCACTAAGTAGAGAGGAAGACACCAAACATCCTGCTCTGGTCTCTACATGCTCACACACCCATATACTCATACTCAAGCATGTGCCACACACACCACATACCTCCTCCACACACAAAAATATTGTTATGAATAATATTGCGAACTTCATAATAGGTATTAAAATTGATAAAAATGTAGCCATCTGTGGCTATACACAATGTTATTGTGGAAAAAGGACAATTGGAAACACTATTTTGTAACTTTAAATCTGAAATTTCAAAATCAAAAGAAAGAAAACAATACAAGAAAGCACTTTAAAAAACATTTTTGCAGACTGGGTATGGAAATGCACGTCTATCATCTTGGCATGTAGACGGCTGAGACAGAAGGACTGCTGAAGGCTACCTTAGAATACAGTGAGACAGAGTCTCAAAAACAAAAACAACAGTAACAAAATTCTTTTGCAATAAATACTACAGAACACAGTAGTTTACGTATTTAATTTTGCCATACACCTCCCTTTAATCTAGAATAAATAAGTATAAATTTTAAAAAATGTGTCAAGCATACTACAGTGGTTAATACTGTCACCATGACGGGACCTAGAATCACCTAGGCAATAAACATCTGGGCATGTCTGTGAGCGAGTTTCTAGACTGGGTTAACTAATGTAGGTAGTACCATTCCATGGGCTGGGTCCTGGAGTAAATAAAATTAGAAAGTGAGCTGAGCACAGGCGTTTGTTCATCCTCTGCTTCTCGACTACAAATACAATGTGACCAGCTCCTTCGAGATCCTGCCACCATGACTTCCTCACCAAAATGAACCCATTGCTTTGACTAGGTATTGTATTGTTTAGCAGCAATGAGAAAAGTAATTAATACATATACCTTCTAATGACATGAATTTATTTTCCCACAGATTTTACCTCTAAGAAATTTCTTCACTACACATTTTTTCTTTCACCTTTTTCTAATCTAAGTTTGATACATGTGGTTTACACAGATTTAGTTTAGCATAGTATCCTGGCCTTTACTAAACACCTACATGTGGAAAACAAGAGCCTCCAACAACCTGTAATTACTAACGGCAAAATTGGCTTGAGGTATGACTGCTGGGCTTGAGAAAAAAACAGAGCATCCCTTCTTTATTCTAGAAGCCTCCATCCTCACAAATTAAACCTGAACCACATATGCATTCACGTTTTTCACTTAACAGTACATGTGACATCTGTTACATGCATTTGATGTTTTAAAGTGAAGCAAAAACCATGAGATGCTACATGGCCTCTGGTGACAAGAGGTGGATCATCCCCATAACTATATTAAGCAAAGGCCCTATAACTCTTTATTCTTCTTTCTAACTATGCCACTCACATAACATACTCAGATAACACTGTACAAATATAAATCAACAAACTCTCTGTTGTGCTATGAATGAAACACATGGTAACATTTCCTAGGAAAAATGAATGCTCTTACCTTACCTCTTGCAAGATAATCTCTTCTAACATTTTTTTCCTAAGCAATAATTTTTACAATCATTGATTCTATCAACGATTACCTCTAAGTCACAAATTAGAATTTTATTTGAACAGTTTATGGTTAAATCACTAAAATGTGAGAAGTAGCTTTTATTTAGATTCATGATTTTAAAGTCTTAAATTCATGAAATCTCCAAATTCTTGCCTAAGTTGTCTAAGTATTTACTAAATGAATCCTATATGCTAGGAAAACTGAAACAGATGGCATTGTTTGCTTTCTTGTTCCCAATACCCCAATACTGGGAAGCCATTTACCTTAAGAACCTGTATCAAACAACAAAAACAAACAAAAAGAATACAAATTCAATAAGGCAGAGTTGCATTAACCACAGCTCTCCAGCACCAGGAAAAGTACACAGCACTCAATATTTGTGACATGAATATAAGTCACAACATCTAAGTCGTGTACTTAACACAAAGCATGTGTTTTTGCTTTTAATCTTTAACTATAATCAACTATAAAATGAGCACTTAAAGACAGAAACTTGGGGGCTGGAGAGATGGCTTAAGAGCACTGGTTACTCTTGCAGAGGCCCGGAGTTCGATTCCTAGTACCCACATGGTGGCTAACAACCTTCTATAACTCCAGTTCCAGGGGACCCAGAGGCCTCTTCTGACCTCTGCAGGTACTGTATGATACAGGTATACCCACCTACATACAGGCCTCTTCTGACCTCTGCAGGTACTGTATGATACAGGTATACCCACCTGCATACAGGCATTATACTCATTCACATAAAGTAAAAATACTAAAATTAAAAAAAAAAAAAAAAAAAAGAAGCCAGGCGTGGTGGCCCACACCTTCAAACCCAGCACTTAGGCAGAGGCAGGCAGATCTCTGTGAGTTCCAGTCCATCTTGGTCTACATAGTGAGTTCCAGGCCAGCTGGAGCTACAGGGAGACCCTGTCTCAAAGACAAACTCTTCCTAACATGTTCCTACATTCTTAGTATCTACAAGAAAATGTTATTGAGTGAAGATTACACTTGAGAACAAGGAATGAACCAATGAGCTCTAGTTGCTCTAATTCTGCTAATGTTCTAAGATACTATTCAACTATTAAAATAGTCACAAGCAAATTACAAAAGGAAAAAAATGAATTTTTTCACTTAAAAGATACAAAGAGGTACTATGAAAAAACACATGAAATATGACAGACATAGTAATTTTCAAGTTTTACTATAAATAAACAAGGGCTTTAAAATTAATTTCAACAGTAAATAACAATTTCTTCTACAGCTATTTCTTTTTTGTTTTGGTCTTTTTCGGACAGTGTATCCCTGTAGCCCCAGCTGGCCTGGAACTTGCTATGTAGACCAGGCTGTCCTCGGACTCATAGAGATCCACTTGTCTCTGCCTCCTAAGTGCTGGGATTAAAGGCTACCACGCCAGGCTAGCTATTTCTTTTAATAATGCATGTATAGGCCGGGCGTGGTGGTGCATGCCCAGCTCTCATCCATGAAGAATTCAACTAAGGCTGAATCTTTCCATATCCCAGCTGAGAACTAACGTTCAATGAAAGGTGACTGGAACATGTAACAAAGGAAGAAAAAGAAATTCCAAAAAGCTCAACTACAAAACAATATCTACATATTTAATACTAGTCTACCAAAAACATAAGTTTTATCAGCTTTATCAAAAAGATCAAGTATATACATCAGTTTACATCATAGTGTATGTGACAAGAAAGCACCAACATTGCAAATTCTACAAATCATGTTATTCAAGAAATATTTTAAAGACAGACATGGTGGTGCATGCCTATAATCACACCACTTGTAAGGTAGGAGGACTGCTCCAAGTTTGAGGTAACCAGGTCTACACAGTAAATGCAAGCTATCCAGGACTACAAGTGAGACAAAGGGAGAGAAGAACAGAAGGAGGCAAAGAAGGGAGGCAAGTGTTTTGAGACTATTCAATCGAGTAATTGAGAACCAATCATGCAATGATCAACAGGGAAACTGCCCACTTACCCTGTGATTTTATGTCCATGGTCACATACGGAAAACTCCCAAGGACAGCCATAACTTCTTCATATTTTTCATCTTCAAGGAAGTGTAACAGACTATGACGATCTGATTCTTTTAAACTCACCAAATCCTGGATAGTCTTAATTTTGTACTGAATAAAAAAACAAGGAAAACAAACTCCTGATAAAATTTTTCATAAAGCAAAAATTACTGGCATGCTGACCAAATTAAAATCCAGAAAACTGGGGCTGAAGAGATGGCTCAGTGGTTAAGAACACTGAGTGTTCTTGCAGAGGACCTGGGTTCAAATCCTAGCACCTGCATGGCAGCTAACAACTGTCTGTAACTCCAGTTCTAGGGGATCTGACAGCTTCTTCTGTCCTTTGTGGGCACTGCAAGACACAGGTGCACTTACCTACATGCAGGCAATACATACACACACATAAAATAAAAATAATAAATTTTTAAAAATTTTTTTAAAAAAGAAAAAAGAAACTATTCTCCATTTTGGTATTTAATTTTTAAAAAAACATTTTATTTATTTTTATGTATGAATGCTTTGCCTGCATGTATGCAGTGCCTGCAAATGCCAGGAAAGGGTTTTGGGTTCCCTGGAACTGGAATTAGAGAAAATTGTAAACTGCCATTCAGTGCTAGGAACTGAACCTGAGTCCTCTGTAAGAACAGCACTGCTCTTAACCATTGAGCCATCTTTCCAGCCCCAATTTTATTATTTTCCAGGTATAATGGTCACTGAACTAATGTATGCATTAGGTAAATGGCTACTAATGAGAGTAGTCTTTAATTTCCAGGTATTCAGTACTAGATATCTAATTTTTACTTTCACAGGTTAGATCATAAGAAACATGAAATTTAGACCCTGGGATTCTGTAGATTTTTGTTGTTTTTTCTTTCTGGAGCTGAGGACTTGAACCTAGGACCTTCACCTGCTGGGCAAATGCTTTATACCACTGAGCTAAATCCCTAACCCCATGATTTTTTACTTTTAAATTACGACTTTAACATTTGATCAAATTTATAAGGGCTATAGGCAATATGATAATTCTACCTCCATATTATCATCAAATACACAGGCTTATCTTCTGCTCACTTCATCTATAAAGTAATTTTCTTTTGTTCTTGTTTTCTATGACAGGGTCTCACTCTATAGCCCAAGCTGGCCTCAGAATGATAATGCAACCCAGGCCTTGAATTCATGGCAACCCTTCTGCCTAACTCTCCCAGAGTGTTGGGTATCACACTATCATGCCCAGAGTAATGTTTAAAGACTCCTGCCAAAGCTGGGCATGGTGGCACACACCTTTGATCCTAGCACTTGGGAGGCAGAGGCAGATGATCTCTGTAAGTTCGAGGCCAGCCTGGTCTACATAGCTAGTTCCAGGCCAGATGGGGCTACAAGGACACCCTGTCTCAAAAAGACAAAAAAAAAAAAAAAAAAAAAAAAAAGACTCCTGCCAAAACCATACCCTTTTGTTTGTTTGGTCTGATCTTTTTGAAACAGGGTCACCCTGGAGCCCCAGCTGGCCTGGAACTCACTATGCAGACCAGGCTGGCCTCTATCTCACAGAGATTGGCCTGCCTCTACCTCCCAAGTGCTCAGACTCCAAATAAAAAATTATCTTTATACAATTTATTACTTTCTTTAAACACAAAGTCTTGTATCTACTAGGCAAACATTTTAACTACTGAGCAACATTCTCAGACCAACTGATTTTTTGGAACAGGGTACTTTTTGTTCATACTCAACTAACAAAACAATTGCCTAATCTTAAATCCGAGAAAAAAATGAAAAGCATACAATGCAATTTTACTCCATATATGCATTTTTGTAATATAACAAATAAAATGTTCATTGCTAAAATTCACTCAATCCCAAAATAGTAATACTAACAGAAGTAAAATATAAAAACTACCTAGTTAAAAAAATACTAATAGGACCATTTGAGAGTTTTAGAATTTTTAAGATATTCTATAAGCTAAAAAATTTATAGTAACCAGGACTGGAGTGATGGCTCAGTGGTTTAGAGTACTGGCTGCTCTTGCAGAGCACCCAGATTTGGTTCCCAGCACCCACATAGCTAACACCCTCTTCTGGTCTTTTTGGGCATTATATGGCACAGGTACACTTATACAAGCAAGCAAAAATACTCAGACACATAAAATACCAATAAATCAAAAAGATTCAGAATGACCAATTCTAGAAAACTATATTCACATTACTTTTAAGAGATAGTAGTAAGCATTTTACCTTTTTATGATTAGAAACTCTTCTAAGATTGTCCTCTTCGATGTGAGGGAGCTGCAGAAGGGGAGACTTAAACTGCTGAAGGCCCTGAACAGCCATCTGGGAAAGCTTCATGCAGTTTTCCAAGGATGTCAAAGTTGGAGCACGAAACTCCCTTTCTTAGAAAGAATAGGAAAAAAAGAAGAAAAAAGGGCTGCACTTTGTACAGGTTCAGGAGCATACAACTCATCACAAGAACAAAAACACACTAACATCCTCAACATCTCAAATTCTAAGATCAATATATTGATTTTCCTCCAAGGACTACTGGAAAAATATTAAAAACATACAAATTTGGTCAAATGTGTATTATTTGCAATGACCATTAATTAAATTTAACAAAATCTCTGTATCAAGTCCAATAATGGTAAATTATCAGACATTATCAGTAAAAGGATTTCATTTTTAAAACTCTTGCCAGGAGTCTGAGAACATGTAATTCCAGCACTTAGGCGAGTTCAAGACCAACCTAGACTATAGTTGAGATGCTGTCACAAACAAAACCCCAAAAAGTTTTAAACCAGGCATGGTGGTATATACTAGTTATCTAAGAACTTGAGGCTGGGGTGGGAAGACTGTGAGTCTAAGACCTGCACAGACTAAGAGCAAGACTCTATTTCAATAAAATGAAATAGGAATAAACAGGGTTAGAGAGATGGCACAGCGGTTAAGAACACTGGTTGTTCTTGCAGAAGACCCGGGTTTGAAGCCCAGCACCCACACGGCAGCTAACAACTGTCCTTAACTCCAGTCCCAGGGGATCTGACAGCCTCTTCTGACCTCCGCGGGCACTGTAAGACACGGGTACACTTATCTACATGCAGGCAATACACGCATACACATAAAATAATAAATAAAATTTTCTTTATAAAGTAAAAAAAGTTTTTTTAATTAAAAAAAGTTAATGAATAATCATTTTCATTAGGGTTTAAAATGGGTTTAATTAGGGTTTCTTCAGATAACCCAGACTGGCCTCAAACTAGAACTCCTACCTCAGCTTCCCAAGTGCTGAAACTGCAGGTGTGAGCCACAATACCCAGCTAGAAATTCTTTGTATTAACTCCAAGAACAGTAAACATTACCAATATTCTGAATATACTGTAATTTTGCCAAGAACTAATTACCCACAACAACAAAACCATAAGCACTGTCCCCTTCTTTAAGGGTCCCCTTTTCCACTAATAACATAAATCCCTATCCTTTTCTTTTTGTACATGAAAAACTACATCAATTGAATCATTATACCAGTTAAAGAATTATTTCATATTCATTGTTAAAATACAAAAGAAGACTCAAAAATATACAGTGTATATGTGTATGCATGTGTGTCTGTGTGTGGGATGGGTATATGAATACAGATTCCTAAAGAGTCTAGAAAGAGTCTGATCTAGAGCTGGAGTTATAGGCAGTTGTGACACACCCAACATGGGCACTTGGAATTAAACTCAGGTCTCCTGTGCAACAATAGTACATGCTCTCTCCAGCTCCAGAAAGAGATTTTAAATCATTGCAAATAATAGAATAATGAAAAAATTATATCATGAGCAAAACTGAGAAAGTTGACTGACCTGGTGTACAGGATTATAATTAAACACTCATAAATCTGAAAACTATGAAACCTAAGCTGCATATGCTTCCAAGAAAAAGTATAATATAATTAATTGCATTTCCTCCTCACCTTCACGGCTCCGGGCCATTATTATTAGTTGGCAAATTACATTAACCATTTCTTGAAGTAGTGCAGGACATTTTTTCAGCATAAACTGCTGATCTGCAAAAACAGAAAACCTGAAACAAATCACTCTAATTTTACACTGAAAGCATCCTTATCATTTAAAGCCCAAGGTTACTACAAAATTTGCTATCCCACAAATATTTCACATGACAACAGAATTTTACTGTCTGAAAGATGTTTCTCCTCAGTGTCACTGTTAAAGATTAGTTAGAAAAACACCACTAACATTACATGTGTCAAAGACAAAATTAAATATTATAGTATTAAGTTTAGTAAGTCATTCCCTATTTTCTTCAAAATAGTCCTAATCATAAATTTGATTCTAATCTTGCTATCTTTTAATTTTGTTCTTGTGCCTCAAGTTCCTGTAACTATGGGTAAAGTACAAAGACTATCAACGGGAATAAATGTCAACTAGATACAGAGATAGGATGAGGAGGAAAAAGAGCAAGAGACAGATTTGTTTACACTGTACAGACTCAATGGATAAAAGTGCTTGCTATGCAGATAACCTGAGTCCAATCTCCAGAAGCCACATAAAAAAGTAAAAAAATAAAATAACGCTGAGAACCAGCAAGATGGCTTAGCAGGTAAAAACATTTTCTACCTAGCCTCATCTAAATTCAATCTCTGGAACCCACTTGGTAGAAGGAGAAAATCAACTCTTACAAGCTGTCCTCTGACCTCCATACTTGTCTTGGCATGCTTAACCTCCCACCAAATAAATGTAATTAAAAAATTAACGAAAGGTGCATGTTTGTAATTACAGCACTCCTATAGTGACATGAGAGGTGAGGATACAAGAATTGGTCAGAGGGTCATAGGCTAGCTGCCTGGAATACACAGCACAGCAGCAAAAATAAAAGATTCTGCCTCAACAAGACGGAAGGTAAGAACCAACTCCCTAAAGTGTTCCTATATCACACGTGTGCCATTGCATACAAACATTAAAAATAAGTTGCCAGACATGGTGGCGCATGCCTTTAATCCCAGCACTCGGGAGGCAGAGGC